CCGCGGATCGGTCGGCAAGGAAAGCCTTTTCCAACCGCTCCTGTAAACCTCGTTGCACAAGGCATAAGGGATCGGTCGGAAAAGGCTTTCCTTGTGGACCGATCCCCGTCTAGACTGCCGCTTTTTGCTGGCAAAGTGCCGCGTCGGCAAAAAGCGGCAGCCATTTCTATTCAAATGAAGCGCGGGATATTTAAATCCCCACTTCATTTGCATTAGCGATGTGCCTAATCTACATCCCTCGGTCGGCAGAGGGGTATAGTTTAGACACAGCCCTGGAGTGTTGTGTCCAGTTCTGGGCCCCCATTACAGAAAGGATGTGGACGCATTGGAGGGGATCCAGCGGAGGGCGACCAAAATGATTCGGGGGCTGGAGCATATGACCTATGAGGAGAGGCTGAGGGATTTGGGTCTGTTTAGTCTGCAGAAGCGAAGAGTGAGGGGGGATTTGATAGCAGCCTTCAACTACCTGAAGGGTTTGGAGAGAGGGTGTTCTCAGCAGTAGCAGATGGCAGAACAAGGAGCAATGGTCTTAAGCTGCCGTGGAGGAGGTCCCTGACCTACGAATGGGTTACATTCCGAACACCTGGTCGTAACTCGATTTGGTCGTAAGTCGGAAATACCCTTAAATGCGCTGCCCGCACTGTTCAAAACACTTGACGTCCGTGGTTCTCAACTCGAAAATATTATAATAGGGTTTATGGGAGGTTGGTCATAAGCACGGATGGTCGTAAGTCAGTGTGTTCGTAAGGCGGGGAGTGGCTGTATGGGAAAGCTCTGGGATGGGTTCCCTAGGGAGGGGATGGAGTCTCCATCCCTAGAGATGTTTAAGCCCAGGCGTGACCAAGCCCTGGCTGGGCTGATTGAGTCGGGGTTGGTCCTGCTTTGGGCAGGGGGCTGGACTCGATGACTCCTGAGGTCTATGCTAGCTCTGGGCATCTATGATTCTAGGTCCCTTTTCCCTCTCTGCCTCAGTTTCTCCATCTGTACAACGATGGCACTGACCTCCTGTGTGGAGCACTTTGAGATCTGCGGGCGGAGGTGCTGGGGATCTTTATTCTGTGGCTGGCAGCGTGTCTCCCCCCACATGAGACAGCAGCAGCTCCTCTAGAGCTAGAAGAACTAGAGGACACCAAATGAAATTAATGGGTAGCAGGTTTAAAACTAATAAAAGAAAGTTCTTCTTCACACAGCGTGTAGTCAACCTGTGGAACTCCTTGCCAGAGGAGGCTGTGAAGGCTAGAACTATAATAGAGTTTAAAGAGAAGCTAGATAATTTCATGGAGATTAGGTCCATAAAAGGCTATTAGCCAGGGGATAAAATGGTGTCCTTGGCCTCTGTTTGTCAGAGGCTGGAGAGGGATGGCAGGAGACAAATCGCTTGATCATTGTCTTCAGTCCACCCTCTCTGGGGCACCTGGTGCTGGCCACTGTCGGCAGACAGGATACTGGGCTAGATGGACCTTTGGTCTGACCCAGTACGGCCGTTCTTATGTTCTTATGGAGGGAACTTGTGCTGTGTTTGTACAGCGCTGAGCACAATGGCTAATCTCTGGCCCGAATGCAACATGCACGGAGGGCCACGAGTGGCCGGCTGTCACAACCGCATCAGCCCACTGCCAGCTCTGTTAGTGTCAATTCTGTTCTGACCCCCATGCCTGTTCCGGGGGGACCTGACCTCCCATCTGGGCCTTGGGCCAGGTGGCTGACATCTGTCGTGGGTGGGCTGTTCCACCCTCGAGGGTCCCCGTGGTGATTGGGATGCGTACACCCCTGTAACACTCCGGCAGTGCGACCAGAGTCCAGGAGCCCTGTTGGGAGGCCATGACCCCATTTACGCTGGGTGCGCTACAGACCCCAAAGAGGCCTGGGGAGCAGCACTCCTGGGGTCTCTCTCCAGCTCTGGGAGGGAAGTGGGGCCTAGTGGTTAGAGAGGGGACCAGGAAACAGGACTCCTGGGTTCTATTCTCCAACTCTGGGAAGGAAGTGAGGTCTAGTGGTTAGAGGCAGCACTGGGAATGAGCGTTCCTGGGTTCTATTCCCCAGTTTTGGGAGGAGAGGGGAGTCTAGTGGTTAGAGTAGGGTGACTGGGAGTTGGGATGAGAGCAGGGGTGAGTGGGGGTCAGGACACTGGGGTTCTATCCTCGGCTCTATCCCTGGCCACGGGCAGGTCCCTTCCCCTGCCTCAGTTTCCCCTGCTGTGAAATGGGGGCAGCAGTGCTGTTGCTTCTTGAGAGAGTATTTTGAAGTTGACAGACAAAAAGCCGGATGAGGGCTGAGCATGGTTACTCCAGCACACCCCAGTCATGGCCTGACACCTTTCGGGGGCTATTCACTGAGTAGGTTGGAAGCTCGGTGGGCAGGGTTGGGGGGCTAATCTCTCCTCCACCCCCCATGGCTTTGCTAATGGGCCACTTCTCTCCTCTCTCTCTCCTCCAGAAGAGGGCGAATATTTCCTCAAAGTCCTGATCCCCAGCTATGCGGCCGGCTCCATCATCGGGAAAGGGGGCCAGACCATTGTCCAGCTGCAGAAGGAGACGGGCGCTACCATTAAGCTCTCCAAGTCCAAGGACTTCTACCCAGGTGAGGGGCCCCCGTGACGCCCTGCGGATCTGCGCTGGGGGAGGGGGAGGCCAGGACTTGGCCCTGCCATGGTGGCTGGGCAGGAGGGGACCAGGTTTGTCTCGTGCCCGGGCTCCGGACCCCTGTGGTCCATCCTGGGTAGACCTCGGGGCCGGGTGAACTTCTGCCATCTGAGCAATCAGCCTTGCCAGGCTTGGAGAGGGGCGGGAAATGCCGTTTGCACGTAACAGCCAGTTGCGAGACAGGGGGCTGCGTCCGGGCCAGCAGCAGCTCTGGAAACGGCTCGGGGGTCCCGGAGGCTGCAGAGATAATGGCTCTTGCGTGAGAAGGGGGGGATTCAGCCCCGCGGAGCAATCGGCTCAGGCTCTCTGCAGACTCAGGCGGCATCACTTGGCCAGCCTGGCCGGCATGTATGGGAAGGGTGGGGAGGGGCAGAGAGTTACTGTGGGGAGTCACCCCACCCCGAGTTTCCACCATGGTAGGACTGAGACCCACAGGTGGAGGGCAAGGTTTGCCCTGCAGCCCCCCCGTGAGGTACATGGAGGGAGCTGGATCTCCCATGCCCCCGGCCTAGCAGAGGACCACAGCCCCACAGCGAGGCCACGTTGGGGCCAGCCTTTCCTTGGGGGTATTGGGCCACCTCCTTCGTACCAATAAAAGAAAGTTCTTCTTCACACAGTGCATAGTCAACCTGTGGAACTCCTCGCCAGAGGAGGCTGTGAAGGCTAGGGCTATAACAGAGTTTAAAGAGAAGCTGGATAATTTCCTGGAGGTTAGGTCCATAAAAGGCTATTAGCCAGGGGATAAAATGGTGTCCTTGGCTTCTGTTTGTCAGAGGCTGGAGAGGGATGGCAGGAGACAAATCGCTTGATCATTGTCTTCAGTCCACCCTCTCTGGGGCACCTGGTGCTGGCCACTGTGGGCAGACAGGATACTGGGCTAGATGGACCTTTGGTCTGACCCAGTACAGCTGCTCTTATTTACCGGGGGGTTTCTCTGTCCCGGGATTGGTGCTGCAGTGGGGCTCTGCTCTAGTCCAGACAGGGATCGTTTCTGGGCAGTTTCCTAGCCTGTGTTAGGCAGGAGGTCTGACGAGATGATCACAGTGGTTCCTTCTGGTCTTGGAATCAAGGCAGCTGTGAGGGGAGGGGAGTGGTGTGTAGTTGGGGGGTGCGGGATCTGGGACTCCTGGGTTCTAATCCTGGCTCTGGGATTTGTTGGGGACAAGTCGACATGTTTCCTGCCGTTCCAATCTACCGCAATTCTTTGAGCGGGTTAATAAGCATGTGGACAGGGAGGAGGGTCCGGGGGAGACAGCGTACTTAGATTTTTCCGAAAGCTTTTGACAAAGTCCCTCACCAGAGGCTCTGGAGCAAAGTAAGTTGTTGTGGGATAAGAGGGAAGTGCCTCTTATGGATCGGTAACTGCTTAAAAAACAGGCAAGAAGAGGGTAGGAATGACTGGTCTGTTTTCAGACTGGAGAGGGGAGGTGTCCCCAGGGCTGTGCACTGGAACCAGTGCTGTTCACGTAATCATAAATAAAGGGATACGCAGGGAAGGGACAAAATTTGCAGCCGATACAAAACGACTCACGATAGTTAAGTCCAAAGCAGACTGCGATTTAAAACGAAAGCAGACCAAAAAGCAGGTTTTAGACAAACCAGAGGAAGTATTTCTTCACACAACACCAACAGGCAACCTGCGGAACTCCTTGCCGAAGGATGTTGTGAAGGCCAAGACTCTCAGGTTACGTCTACGCTGCAATGCTGTTTCGAAATAGTTATCCTGCGTCTTCACAGCAAGCCCATTATTTTGGGCTTGCTATTCCGACGTCCCGGTAAACCTCATTTCACGAGACGTAAGGGAATAGCGCTTTTTTTTCGAAATGTGGTGCTGGGTAGAAATAAGCTATTTCGAAATAGCATCGAAATAAGATATGCAATTTGCCTAGCTCAAATTGTGTCGCTTATTTCGGGTTGCAGTGCAATGTAGACGCACCCTAACAGGCCCCCGAAAGGAACTAGCTATATTTACAGAGGTTAGATACTAGCCAAGCTGCTCAGGGATGAAGTTCCTAGTGACAGGGTGGGTGACAGGGGAGGATCACTTAACAATTCCCTGTTCTGCTCGCTTCCTGGGAAGCACCTGGCACTGGCTGTCAGCCGACTGGGTCTGGGTTATGTGGGCCTTGGCTCTGGCCGTTCGTGTGGGGTTCAATGGTTTCAGCACCGGCAGGGAAGCCAGGATGCGTGAGTCCTGCTCCCAGGACTGGGAGGTCTGGGGGGTGTCTTGATGTCAGCAGGCGGACACGGGGAGCCAGGACCCCTGGGCTCGGCCCTGCGCCACGTAGTCCCGGCTCTGCTATGTGCCAGCCCCACAAAAGGTTTCATTTTCAGGTCAAGCAGGGAGATTAGGGGGTGGTGCTGGGTGGCAGGGGAAGCTGGCAGCCCCGGCCCAGACATAATCTGTGCCCTGATTGTGGGGCACACAAAGCCGGACCCGCCCAGCTAAGCCGCTTTTCTCTGCATCGCCCGTCCTCGATTGGGGGATTACTGGGCGGCAAATCCCAGGGGATGGAGGGGTGTTGCCAAGAGACTAGGGGGAGCAGGGGACAGTTCTTCACTTGGGAACTGCCCTGGGAGAAAAGGGGTCGTTCCAATCCCTCGGGAAAGGGGGAGGCACCATCCCCCGCCACCCTGACGTGGAGGGAGGGGAGTTTGGTCCCTAGGGGTTTCCGAAATCTGAGGGCATGATCAGGAGTGTGTGTAGGAGGCAGAGACTCTTGGGACTGTGGCAAGGCAGCATAGTGGTTAAAGCAGGAGGGGCTGGGAGCCAGGGCACCTGGGTTCTCTTCCTCAGCTCTGGGAGGGGAGTGGGGTCTAGTGGTTAGAGCAGGAGGGGCACTTGGGTTCTGTTCTCTAGCTGTTAGCAATGGCTTCCTGCGAGTCACATCCAGGCAGCCCCTCTCTCATACACTGAGCTCTTAGGCGGCGCTCCTGATTTGTAGGTCAGGCTCAGGATGGGGGGTCGGCCCCATGGGGTCTGAACTGGTGGGGCTGGCAGTGCCGCTCGTCCTTGACCGTGTTGGGGGCCTGGCCTGCCCAGGCTGCCCGCAGGGGTGGGGGAGCTCCAGCCGCACGAAGGGTCCTGGAGAGGGGTGTCCGTGCCCCCGCAGCCAGCCCCCAGGATCCCATAACCCTTGGGCAGGGGCCTGGAGATGGAGGAGGGAGAGACACCCCGACACCACAGTGGCTGTCTGCAGCCCTTAATACCCTTGCCCTCTTCCTCTCCCCATCCCCCCGCCCTGCAGCTGCAGAGCTAGGGGAGGAAGCAGGAAGCTGGGCAGGGCTGGACCAGGCAGGGAGGGAAACAGCTTCAATGAGAGGAAATGCTCCCCTAGATAAGTCAGCCCCAAGCTGTGCAGGCCAGCCCCTCCCCCC